GGAAGGAAGGAAGGAAGGAAGGAAGGAAGGAAGGAAGGAAGGAAGGAGGAAGAACAACTGTGATAAAATCTAACAATCCTCACCTGGCAGGTGGGGAAAAATGAAATGTTCCTTACTAAAACACATTTTAACATGAAATGGAAAAGATATGAAAAGATAGTTTAAATTTTAAATCATAAGACCCTTATTAAAATGAATATTAAAATAAAGGTGATTTAGTGTTCAAATAGAAATGAATTGGACTTATATAAATTCAATTAGTATTAACATGAACTAGAAACATTTTTCAGTAGACAAAATTCTTTAGCTTTATTTAGGGCTAGGGTAAACTTTATTTAGGGTTTGGTGGTTTCATGGGGAGAACTGTTCCAGAATGGTTTTGATCAATTTTCAATGGTATTTAAATAAGGGATGTATAAAGAATTGTTGTCAGAAGGTTTTGTGGTTTGATGATGAAGGATTTAATTGAGAAGGAATCCAAAGAAGCAATCTGTTAACAAAGGAATGAACAGAACCAATTGAACACAAACCCAATCAATATTTTTCAGTAAACCAAATTCTTTAGCTTTATTTAGGGTAAACTTTATTAAGGGTTTGTCAACGGATTTTTTAAACAATCTTTTTTAACATAGCCTAAAAACATACAATAGAAAACAAAACCAGTAAAAAACACATAAAGCGTAATTCAAACACTCATAAAACTAGTCATAATATAATAACAAAAACTAATGTTAAAAAGACACGTAAAAATAATAACAGCGATAAACAAAAATATGTTTTATAAAAACATAAAAATAGAACACATAAAAACGTGCTAACTTTATTTCGGGTCCCTTTATTAATCAGGGCGCAGATTGGCTAACTTTATTCCGGGTCCCTTTATTAATCATAGGTCAACAGTTATAATGTTCACATTTACTTAAAAAGGTTTTGGGAAGCACTCCTTGAACTGTTTAGTGACCTTTTTTCCACGGTATATTGGTAGGGGTGTGGTGATTCTACTCGTAGCAAGTTGCTTGGATACACATTGAGAATCATTTCCATGTGCATTTGCCATGCCTTTGCCATATACCTTTTTTGAAGAACATCAAAGGAGACATAAGACAACACTTTCGGTTGACTCGCTTATAGTGTCAAGAATCAGCTGGCTCGACCCTTTTCTGGCCATACCATACCTCTTGTAAGGTTCTTTAGGAAGGGAGCGAGCTGAGAGCAAGGGAGGGATTGACAAGATCCTTCGATGACCTAGCCAGCAAGTTTTGAAGGAGATTGTCAGTCTTTTAAGTGCTTCCATGTCTGTGAACACTTTGTTTTTGCTGTTCCTGTTCCAACCACGGCCATCCGGAGCTCCGGCAGGTACGCTCCTGCACGCGCTAGGGGGGCTGGCAAACCTCAACAGTTTGTTGAGCTTGGGCCTTGTCATTTCTCAGGATGTGGAGATATTCCCAC